ACAAATCTTTCCAACCCTTGGTGACTTGGAAAACCTGAAGGCTTATCGCTGCTCCTGACTGTAGGTTGGCTGGACTCAGCCAGGTGGTTCTGTCGCTCTCCCGCGGGGTCTTCCGTGCGGTTGTGTTTACTTAGAAGCTGGCTTGATGAAGTGTTTGGGATGCTCTCTCTTCTGTTAGGGCCCTTCCCTTATGTTGTCTCACCGTTTCCTTTAGACCAAGTTTCTCACATGGCAGCTAGATCCCATGGTGAGGGCCTGGAGCTCTGCCAGAAGCACCCTTGCTACCCAGGCAAGCCACAAGGACAGCTCCTGTCCAAGCAGCGAGATGTTCCTCCATCTTCCCTTGCCTTTGCAAGTCTGTCAGTTATCGGCTTTTTTAGAGTATGTGGTAAGACCTGTTACCAGAGTCTAGCCTGTTTGACAGTTGCCAAATATGATCAACAGAGCGATTACCTGTACCTCTCCCACCACATAGAACTATATATACTTCAGAGAGCAATGTTTTGCCTTTGCCTTACTGAAGCAGTCGGTGGGGGCCATCTCCTGTATCCACCCAGCTTCTTGTCCCAACCTCCTCCGAGAATGGAGTGGGAGGTGCTTTATTGCCGGTGAGGGATTTACCAGCTCAAGTGGGATATGTTAGACAATTGCCGTGCCAATTTCAACAGGACAAGTCTGAACCGTTGCTGACTAAGGGCCATGAACAGAGAGCCATGGTAGCTCTAGGAAATGTTACCATGCGAAAGCTCTTAGGGGTCTTCAGGGAGCCAGGCCAGCTTGAGGGAGCTCCTTGCCCAAGGCAGACATCTTAGGAACAGGGAACTCAGGAGGAGTCTGTCCCTAGAGAGTCTTGTAGGCAAGTCTTCCTTCTCTGGTGAGGGGCCGGGCCGGAACTGGATCCTGAAGTCTTCAGGCTTCCGGCTCTCTTCTGGGCACTGTGCTCTGATGTCTTCCTTCTTTTCATCCTTCCTAGGCTCCTGCACACTTCAGTCTGTAAAGCTGCAGCCTACTGGCTTTTGTAGGGGTGCACGGGTGCCAGCTGAACTCTGATTGGCTGGATACGAGTATGAAAATAAGGTGGGAAAAATAGGCTCAATCAGGGAAGCACTGTCAAACCTGGGGAGGAGGCAGAGGAACAATGAGCCCACCAAAAGTTACTGTAAGTTCACAATGACGTCTCCAGGTCTGGGACCCCAGAGAAGTAAGTTTCTGTCCCTGGACGGTGGTGGTGCACGCCTTTAACCCCGGCACTTGCAAGGCAGAGTCAGGTAGATCTCTGTGAGTTCAAGGCCAGCCTGGTTTTCAGAGTGAGTTCCAGAACAGCTAGAACTGTTACAGAAACCCTGTCTAGGAAAAAAATAAAAGAAAGAAGGGAAGGGAAGAAGGAAGGGAGGGAGGGAGGAAGGGAGGGAGGGAGGGAGGAAGGGAGGGAGGAAGGGAGGAAGGAAGAAGTTTCTGTCTACCCCACTGCCACTGGGATCCTCTGCAGGCTTCCGCTGCCTCCCTGCTTTCCTTCAGCATCTTGAATTAGCAACCACCAGCAGTTCCTTCTCTGGCTCCTTTACTCTTAAGAAGGCTGGAGCTTGTGGGTTTCAGAAAGCTCCGCGGGACGAGTGTGCTCGAGGGTGTGTAAATTCTGCACGTCGCCACAGTGATGTGTCTGGAGATTTGCTGCGGTAACTTTGCGCTGTTGGGGAGTCTGGCGACCTGGGCAGAGGTCTGGCTGAAGGAGTTCCCAGGTCACTTTTAGCTCTGTGCCAGAGAGCTCCGTCACTGCTGGATTGGTTTGCAGATATTTTGCTTTCCTTTCAAACTCTTCTTCAGAAAAATGCCGGGCGAGATGAAAGCTTTGAAATGGGAAACCATTTATCTTTAAAGTCTCTCCCTCCTCAACAGGCCCCACCCGTGTTTCTTTCATTTCTCTCTTGATTCCAGGTGCTTGGTTCTTTTCAATGGCCTCTTCTGTCACTTTCTGGAAGCATCTTTCCCTTAAATGTGATCTGTTTAGGACAGCATCCATTTCGGATACTTCCACAGGGTGATTTCCTTCTTAAAGGCTGGTTTGTTATTATTTTTAAAGTGTAAGTGTGCGTATCTGCATGGTCACATGTGCATGCAAGTGCAGGTCACCTCAGAGGCCAGAGGCATTGGTCTCCTGAAGCCTGAGTTACAGATGGTTGTGAGCAGCTTGTCAGGGATGCTGGGACCTGAACTCGGGACCTCTGGGAGAGCAGCAAATGCTCTTAACTGTGGAGCCATTTCTCCAGTTCCAAGCTCCCTTGTTTTTATTCTTTTTTTTAGAAGTCATTCGTTCTTTCTTATTTTTATTTGTTTGTTTTTCTTGAGACAGCTTCTCATGTAGGCCAGGGTGGCCTTAAACTCTCTCTGGGGAGAAGACCTTGAACCTCTGACCGTCCTTCCTCCGTTTCCCACTCCTGGAATTATGGGCACACCCTACCATGCCTGGATTGATACTTCTCTTTTATGTAGCCGATGGTGCCTCTCACTTTTAGAAGGTTTGCTATCTGGAAAACATGTTCTTCGAGCCTCGGCATATCCTGCGTGTCTCCAAAGCACAGATGTTACTGAGTAGCCACCTGGCCTTGCGCTGCTCACTGCGGGGGAGGGGAGGACTTGCTAACATAATCATGTCCTCACCCTACGGGGATCTATCTGGTTCCATCTGTGTCTGAAACGTGGGGATGTGGTCATCAGTGAAGGTCGTCCCAGCCCAGGGACATGTCTTGTAGTTTCACAGTCTCCTGGTAAGAGTGACAAGGCAGACAGGTGTCAGGCCCACAACCAGGAGCAGTCTTAGTTCAGACAGTTGCCTGCAGAGACAGTGCTATGGGGGCGGGGACAGGGATGCGAGGAATGAAAGCCATTGTTCACTCAGGACTGAGTTCTCTTGGGGACAAGAATTCGTCCTTCTGTAGCTCTCTTCCCTGAATCCTGTAACCACATCTAGCTGGAGTCTGGGTTTCATTTAAGCTGTGGTCTCATGCATGCTTGGAAAATGTATTATAAAATCCTCATGAAGTGAACTGCCCAATAACCACATGCTTTTGGGTAGAGGACAGTTTCTGAAGCCTCGTTCAGTTCTACGTGAGTTTGGAAAGTGATACTCCCGTGTTCATGGGAAGATGAATCACAGCTGTCTTTCTAGCAGCTGTGAGGGATTGGCTTGTCTCAATGTTATAGTGATGAGAACTCGACACAGGGAATTTTCCAGTGTTTCCAGAGTCAATGTCTTTGTGGTGGTTTGAATGAGAACATCCTTGCAGGCTCAGATGTTTGAATACTTGGTACCCAGGTGAAGGCACTGTTTAGGTTTAGGAGGTGTGACCTCCTGGAGGAAGTGTGCTATCAGAAGTGGGCTTTGAGAATAGAAAGACTCACCCCACTTCCCATTTGATCTCTCTGCTTCCTGCCTGTAGGGGGAGGCTGCTTGTTTGTTCCCGGCTGCTCAGCCCTGAAATAACAACACAGAAACTGTTTCAATTAAATCACTGCTTGGCCTATCAGCTCTAGCTTCTTATCAGCTAGCTCTTATATCTTAATTCAACCCATTTCTATTAATTTGTGTATTGCCATGTGGCTGTGGCTTACCCGGTAAAGTTCTGTCTGGCATCTGGCATCTGTCTCCGACAGGGGTACATGGCTTCTCCTGACTCTGCCTTCTTCCTCCCAGCATTCAGTTTAGTTTTCCCCGCCTACCACTATTCTGCCCTGCACCGGCCCAAGTCAGCTTCTTTATTAACCAGTGGTCTTCACAGCACACAGAGGGAGTCCCATGTCACCTGCCTATGGCATGATGTGTCGATGCTCAGCTTCCAGCTTCAGGCACATAACCATGGAACTGTAGCCCAGATAAACTCCTTTTACTGCAGCAATGGAAAAGTAACTAAGACAATTCTTTTCAGGGCTATGCAAAAGAGAAAAAGGGCGAGCCAAGGGTTTGGCTGTCCTGACCAACTGAGAACACAAACCTCTTTCTCCTAAATCCCCCAGGTTTTTTCTTCATTATGCAAATAGCACTAGTCTCTGATATTTTAAGTATTTCATTTTGTATTAATTGTATAAAAATGGGTTTGTTAGGATGGTTTCATTTACTTATAAACTGTATCTTGTGAACATTTTCACACACCTCCAAACACCTCTTCTGTCTATCATTTTAAGATTTTGGAGGCATTTCTTTCAAATCCATTATTACGTCCTTAGGGTCAATGGGGCCATAAGACGATGTCAGTGGTTCAAATTAATGGCCAGATAGACACCTGCAAAGTCAGTGACTGGTGAGCCAAGAGCTAGCAGACAGTCAAGGTCAGCAGCTAACAAAGCATTAACGAAAGCCGGACAAAGAGGGCTTTCAGCAACCCCTAACTGGGTGGGCAGCATGTGAACAAAGTGTAATCACCTCCCTGATTGGCCCAGAGAGACGTGCCTAGAGCATGCAGGCCCTCCATTGGCTTGGCCCAGGAAAGCCCAGAGAAGAAGCCAGTCTCTGCAGAAATGACCTCAGTCTTTGTCCAGCTCCTGCTCGAAGTCTCATTCAAGACAAACAAAACAAAACAACAAGCCTAGACAAAACCAGCTTGTTGTCTTTTCCTGCCTTGGGAACCTCTCCCACTCAGGAATTTCTCACTTTCCCTCAGGAAAGTTTGGGTCTTCTTTGCTTCCTCCCACATAGATCTGCATCTCTCTGGCTGGAGACTATGAACTTGAGAGCCGCCGTTCCAGGGCGAGCTCCCACTATCCTCAGTGCCTGGGCTAAGCACAGCTGGGCTGAGAAGGGTCTTGTCCGTCTCGAAACCACATTAGTAAATCAGTAGTATATTTTTTCATTTATGCTTGGGCGCACACACATACACACGCGCACACACGCACACGTATACGCACACACATGCATGTGCACACACATATGGAGGGTGAAGGAGAAGGAGGTGCTTTTGTATGTCTTGGCAATAGTGATCTGCGTGATTTTGAAGCCATGCTGCTTTTAAAGGCTATAATTACAATCAAATTCAAAGGCTAGGCGAAATATAAAAATCAGCTTTTAAAAATTAGCTGGTTTGCTTAGTTCCCTGCTCTTCATTGCTTTTTTGTGAATGAAACTTTAGGTGGTGGTATGAGGTGACTTGTTCAGTTTTAGGGGTGACAGAGAAATGCTGAAGAGGGTGTTCTTTTCTTTCAAGAACTGACTTAAAAAATATTTATGTGCATTGGTGCTTTCCCTTCATGTATGTCTCTATGTGGGTGTTGGACCCCCCTGGAACTGGAGTTGTAGACGGTTGTAAGCCGCCATGTAGGTGCTGAGAACTGAACCCGGGTCCTCTCGGAGAGCAGTCAGGGCTCTTAACCACTGAGTCATCTCTCCAGCTCCAACAAGAGTACTCTTAAAAGGACACATGTTTTGGCTTTAATCATTATCTGTTAGTCCTTGTAGCTCGCTGGTTTGAGAGCGCTCAGCAGAAAGAGTGTCATCCTTGTGCAGGCAAGCTTTTCTTTCCCTTTCTTCGTCTGATGTGGGAGTGGTTTCTTATTAATAAAGAAACTGCCTTGGCCCATTTTATTGGATAGAAAATTAGGTAGGTGGAGTATACAGAAGAGAATTCTGGGAGAAAGAAGGTTAGAGGAGGAGTCGCCATGATTCTCCCGCTCCAGACAGACTCAGGTTAAGATCCTCCCTGGTAAGCCAGCTCGTGGGCTACACAGAATATTAGAAATGGGTTAGAACAATATGTAAGAGCTAGCCAATAAGAAGCTGGAACTAGCCGGGCCAGGCAGTGTTTGAAAGAATACAGTTTCCGTGTAATTATTTCTGGGCATACGCTAGCCATGCGGGCGGCCGGGTGCCGGGGACTCAGCCTCGCCGCTCCTAATTCAACACTGGTTTCATAAAGGTATTTCCATGTTAAGCATAAGGTATACTTTAACCATGTTCCTGCACACCCTCCTATCCTCCTGTTCCCCCTCCCTTTCTCATTAGTAACCTTCACTCTAGACGATTTTGCCTCTACTTTAAGGACCTATGACAGGCATGATTTGATGCAACATATAATATCGAGGATCTACAGATGAAAGAAAGCATACAATATTTGTCTGAAATTGACTCAGTTCGCTTAATATGGCAATCTCCATTTTCCTACCAAGAAGAGAATTCTACTCTTCACTATGGCAGACTAAGATCCCACATGTGTACAGACCACGTTTCCTTCCCCCTTCCCCTGTGTTAGGACATGTAGGCAGATCCCTTTGCTTACTCTTGTGGGCAGCGCTGCAGTCACTTTAACATGCAAGCGTCTGTGTGCTGTGTTGACACAGAGTCCTTCGGATAAACACCTAGGAGTCATCGAGCAAACAAGTAACAAAAGTTGGTGAGCATATGGGCAAGGGGACATTGCTGGTGGGAATGTAAGTTAGGCTAGCTTCTATGGAAATCGGGGTGGGGGTTCCTCAGAAACTAAAAGCAGAACTGCCATACGACCCAGGCAATCTTTACAGCTGCGTGGATTTTGTTATGTGTGCCTAAGTTCTTGACTCTGGCAGACGTGGAGAACCAGACTTTAGGCAAGGGACCGCCTTCTTTCTTCATGCTCCCTTAACCATCTCTTTTCTGCCACTTCCATCTTGCAGAAGCATGCTTTCCATTAGGCACCTAAGAAGAGGAATTTGGAAGTCAAATGTCACCTTCTGACTGCTGGAAGAACCGAGACTCTGTATCCAAATAAAAGACTTACTCTGCTTTGCAGTTCCCTGAAGTCCCAGGGACAGGTCCACCTCAGCATGCACATCAGCGGAGGTGATTGTTTGGAGCAGCTTCCAGGAGGAGGCAGAGGATGGGAAGTGTAATTCCAGGTAGAGAGGGTCACTGGAGGCCAGGAAGATGCTGGCAACCCCAAGGAGCAGCAGCTGATCCACCAGCTGCAGGGCCAGGTCTTAGGAAGGCGCAGAGCCCAGCTGGGCCTGGCTGTAGTCCACCTGCTCCCTGGGTGGCCTCAGGCAAGCGACTCCCCTCAGAGCTGGCTTCGTTGGTGAGAAGCGGGGTGGGATGGCACTAGCCTCTTTGCAGGGTTACCTAGAGGACTAAATAACACACACACATAGATGCACACACATATATACACACACAGTACATACACACACACGAGGTATAAAATCTTGCTTTCACCAGCCTAGTCTGCTATAGACTAGGAATGTTAGTGTGCAAAACTGTTTCACTAGGCAAGGGAGAGACAGAAAGTAGTTGTGATGGGGGAGTGAGGCTGGGGACTGGGAAGAGGGCAGTGTCTGGTGTCCTGGGACAGCTGAGATTGGCAGCTCACTGGGCTCTGGATAGAGTTTCTGCTCACGAGTGACTCCAGTGGAAAATTTTAGTCTTCAGCCTTGGAAACTGAAGATGTTCCTTTAAAAGAAAAAAACGGTGCTTTTGAAACTCAAGTGACAGCATTGACCACGATCTGCTTTTCTCCCTCGCGCACCAGTGTTCTTGGGATGTTATCAGGGCAGCATCAGAACAATGCTCACTTCTGTCTTGTGTTTAACCTGAATGGCGAGTGACCAGTCAGCCGATGTAGGCCACGCAAGGAAGTCTCTTTTTCTTACTGGTTGGGCTAATACAGAAATACAATGGTTTGCTTTATTGTTCTTTTCTTTTTCTTTTTCTTTTTCTTTTCTTTTCTTTTTTTTTTTTTTTTTTTTTTTTCTTATCCCAGCTAAAAGCACGTTTTACAGTCCGGGCATGGAGAGCCGCTGAAGATTGTTTGAGAACTCGACTGCTGTGTCTGAGTTCCTCTGATGTTTCCTGTTGCCGACTGCTTGCTCATTATTCTAGAAAAAATAGCAAACAAGCCCAAACTACTTCTCCAAACAATTCCAAGACATACCACACAACAGAGGAAAGCAAACTCACCAGCGAAGCCCAGCTTTCCTGGGCTAGTTTGTGAGAACCAGGGTGCTTTGTTGCTTTGGTTTGCTTCTTTAAATTTTATTTTATGTGCATTGGTGTTTTGCACGTATGTCTGACTGAGGATGTCCAGGTCCCTGGAACAGTTGTGAGCTGCCGTGTAGATGCTGGGAATTGAACTCTGGTCCTCGGGGAGGACAGTCAGTGCTCTTAACCACTGAGCCATCTCTCCACCCCCCAGAGAACCAGGGTGGTTTTTGATCACTGCTAAATTCTGTTTTTATTAAAGAGACTTTAAAGGATTTTTGTCCTTCTTGAGTTTTAGTTCTTTGCGTACAATGATTTGATCACATCCACCCCGCCTCCCCTGACCTTTTCTCAGGTTCAACCTCTTTCCTATCAAGCCAACCCGTGTCCTCTTTTTCTTCTTCTTCTTTTTTTAACCCATCGAGTCCATTCTGTACTGCACATACTTGTGGATGTGTGACCGTCCTCTGGAGGTGGTGTCAACAGTATGAAAAAGATTTCTTCTCCCTCCTCCTCTTCCTCCTCTCCCTCCCCCTTTCCTTCCTCTTTCTCCTCTCCTCTCTTCCTTCCCCGACTCTCCCCCTTTCCCCACCCCTTCTCTTCTTGAGCTTGTAGCAGTCCTGGGAGTCAGAGTCGGAGCCTGACACCCTACTACTGAGTTGAATCCCTGTCCCTTCTCCATTATTTTTTCTGTTCATGTTTGTTTTCTTGAAGGAGGAGTTACATAAAAATGAACCTCTAGGAGGTCTTCTTTCCTTGAGTCTGATGTTAGGGATATGCCCTGTTTGGATTTCTGGGTCCTGGCAGGCTCAAGTGCTGATTTCTCTCTGTTCTCCAGAACTTCACCCTGGCTTGTGTGTGCTGACGGGTGACACACTTAGTGCTTTCTGGGGACAGGGTGATACCGGCTTCCAATTTGCTCCCAGCCCCCTCCCTGCAGGCATCTTCACCCCACTGGGGGCCCTGCTCAGAGTTCTGTGTGGAATGTGCTGTGGTTAGCACAGACCCAAACTTGCTGCAACCTCACCACCACCCCGCCCCCACCCCCACCAGCCTTCTGGGGCTGCTCTGAAGAAAACTGTTGACTTCCAGTCAGCCCAGGTGCTCTGCCTGTGTCTCTCACCTCCGTATCCATCCTCCATCTTGCCCCAATGTTCTGACAGTTAAATGGCTATCAACTGAGGAGGGGAAAGAAGGTAGGGGAAGGGGCTGGGGATTCTCCTCTGCCTGCCAGGCTTGCTCTGGGCTTCTGTGTCTTCAGCACTCTGGGTGGAACCCGAGTGTTCCCTGGCCTTTGCAGAAGTTGCCCCAGGCCTGGTGGGCTTCAGCCAAGGTGTCCCAGAACACAAGCCCCTCGGACAGCAGTGAGTCAGCACACCGGGGCCTGCCTGTGAGCCCCAATGCACATGAGGAAGCGGAAGGTACCCACACCTGCATTTTACTGCATGGACATGTAATTTGTTCCTTTTTCTACCTTTTGTGTTGTAGGGCTAAAAAAAAAATGATACAAAATAACTTTAAAAATAATCTACTGACCGTTTTGCTTTGTTCACTGCAGAAGGTCATGCAGGGGTCAGGAAAACAAGATAGGGACGCTCATGTGCTTCCCTTGTGAGCAGCAGGGCCAGCGTCCGCTCAGGCTCAAAGGAAGGCTTTATCTAGAAGCTGGCGACTCTACTGAAGATGAGATGGCAGGAGGCTGGAGGAGCAGGGAGAAACTGATTTAAACATTCACTAAGCATCCATAGCCGGTTGTAATTTCATTTACTCCGTCCTCTTGTTCCTCCGCATCTCAGGACAGGAGGGAGGATACGCAAGCACACACACCTGTTTAATGTAGACACATGTGCAGATATTTCTAAACTGCTTTTCCTGTGAACACAATGATATAGCCCCGAGAAATACTGAAACCCTATTATTGGACCATCGCTTCCAAAAATAAGATCCAAACACAATTGTTCTAAAAGCAAAATCTAAAACACTGGCCTAGTCCCTGAAAACAAGTTCAGGATCTAGTATTTCCGCAAGTATAAGTTCAACTCATGGAATTGTTCTCAAAACCCAACATAGTGTTTGCTGACTTAACAGCAAAGACAGAGAAATCCCCGAAGATAATGTTTTCTCTATTCATTTACTCCGTTAGCTCTGTGCATCTTCGCATTTAAGTGAGATACTGCCTTTGCTGACCTATTAAATACACCAAGACTCTAACAGAACTCAGCAAGTAGACAATCATGGTCCACAGCGGGGGAGTGGTAGCGAGTCTGGTTTAGTTATCTTGACTGTCTAAAGAGAGAATGTTAGTATGTAGTAGTGCATGGAAAACACCCATGAGCCTCTGCGTTATCACTAGCTGTCACTTTGTACTGGTTACTGACAAAATAAAGGTAGCTGCCTGGTTTTGATTGTTTACCGTGTGTAGATAAAACCCTTGCTAATCACTACCTCAGTTAAATCAGACAACAATTCCATGAAATACGACTACTATTGTCCCCCCCATTTTATAGACAGACAAGCTGAGGATTACAGAGATTAAGAACTTGCCCCAAGTCACAGTGCCAAAGGAATTGGGAGCCATTATTTCAGTCAGATTCTGAGTGTGCACAGTCTCCCATTGTGTCAGAGACTCCCAAGGAAGGCGCTCGCCTGTTTGTTTTGCTTCTGTGTTACTCGGTGGAATAAAACTACCATTCCCATTGCGTATAAAAATTCCTAAAGAAGCCTCATCAGGATGTTGTGCAATTCCACTTAGCTGCTGATGGCTCAGTCACTGGGGCTGGGCTGGGATGTGGATCATGAGGCCCTGGGTTTGATCCCCCCACGGCATGAACCTGGTCTGGTGATGCATGCCTCTAACCCCAGGACTCCAGAGGGGGAGACAGCCACTCGGTGTCATCCGCAGCTTTATATTGAGTAAGAGACCACCTTAGTACACATGCGACCTCCTCTAGAAAAAAAATGAACCTCCTTTTTGACATGTATCTTTTTTTGCTTTGTTAGTTTTCAAGAGAATGTTTCGCTGGAAGCTTTGTGCTGGTGATGGTACATGTTTGAAATTTCAGCGATCCAGAGGCTGAGGCAGGAGGATTACTGAGTTCCAGGTCAGCTGGGGTCTAAACACAGAAGGAAAGCAGAGACTTTGGATGGAAACCATGTTCAGATGCTCAACCGCCTTCAGGGTTAGGCTTCCCACAGACACGAAGCCAACGGGAAAACGAAAACAACAAGCGCCTTCAAAGGGAGGGCGGCCTCGCAGATCTATAACTCAAAGGAGAATTGTCCTTTGGAGTCTCAGTGAGTTTGGACTGCTCTGGCGGAGCCCTTCCAATTCGACTGGCATTCATACTGAAAACAAACAGTGGTGCACTGATTGCCACAGACGCTCTCTGCAGGGCAGACAGCACACAGCGGTTCCCAGGCTGCTCTGCCAGCTCTCTGAGGTGTTCAGCCTGCATGGGGAACTGCAGTCTGTGCAACAGGCCAGGTGGCCCTGCAGAGTCTGTCTCCAGCTCAGGTGCTGCAGGGGACGATGGCTCTGCGAGTCTCAGAGGAAAACCCTCGCTCACCGCATATGTCTTCGCCGAGGTGCATTCCTGCACATCTTCTCATTCACTTTAGCTCTAGTTTTAGAGTGGGATTAGTCAAGGGGCTCTTGGGACTGAACCAGACAGGGACAGCGGCTGCCTGGAGCTGGACAAACCTTGCACAGAGTCAGTCTGGTTACAGCCCCCAGACCAGCTTCCTGTTCAGTGGCAGATGAAAAGGTATATACATGAATTTTTCATTTTGATTTTTTTATAAGTCAGGATTTTTCTCAGTAGCCCAGGCTAGCTTGGAACTTACTCTTAGCTCAGGCTGGCCTTAAACTCTTAGCAATTCTCCTGTTTCTTCTGAGTCTTGGGATTATAGACAGGCGACACTATACCTGGCTCCCAGGTGTGTTTAAAAGCTTCGGCTTCCCAAGGGACCTAGAAGCTTCTCTTTCAGTCTGAGGAACTCAAATTCACCTTAATCTTTAAACTCAATTACAAGTCTCTCAAGGGTGTTTCTGAAGCTTCAGGGCCCTTTGGAATAACATGCCCTAAAGGGGAGATTGTTTTTTCTCCATTCATTTAACCAGTAAATTCATGAGCATACAACTTCATTCATTTATATAATTCTGTTTAATTAATGGGAACAGGGTGCGGTTAGACAGGAGGAATAACTTTTAATATCACATAATGAAGTAGTTAGACAATTACTAATGGAATAGTTAAAAGTAGTTATTAGAGAGTGAGGGATGGCTCAGTGGTTAAGAGCACAGGGGTTTGGATTGGATTCCTAGCAACCACGTTCAGTGATTTCTAACCCCAGCTCCAGGGAATAGACGCTCTCTTCTGGCTTCTGTGGGTACCTGCATATATGTGGTGCATATACATATTCACTCAAGCACAGCTATAAAATATAGAACTAAGGCTGTATGGGCCCCAAGAGATGACTCGGTTAAGAATGCTTACTGCTTTTGCAGAGGACTGGGGTTCAGTTTCCAGCACCCACAACTCACAGCTCATAGCTTCAGTGCCAGGATACTTGGTCACTCATATAGGCTCAAACACGTGCACATTAATTAAAAGATAAACCAGCAAAGCCAGGCAGATGGTGCGCGCCTTTAATCCCAGTACTCAGGAGACAAAACAGGTGGATCTCTGTAAGTTAAGAAAGCCAAAGACCAACCTGGTCTTTACACAGTGATACCAGGCCTGCCAGGACCGCGTAGTGAAACCCTGTCTCAAAATAAACAAGGAAAACAACAAACAAAGAGCACAAATATTTCTAAGACATAACTAGTAGAGAAGTTGTAAATGTTCTCAGCACAAAGGGAGGATTGCATGCGGAGGAGATGGAGTTGCTGGCTGCCCTGACCTGGTGTTAATCATGCATTGCATGCAGGTACTGAATTGTCACATTGTTTCCCATAAATTGCAACTATGTGTCAATGAGAAAACAAGACAGAGAAAGTGAAAAACGGTCTTTTTTCTCTGTGCCTTTCTGTCAAAGGCAAGCTGAACCAAGGAGAGCTAGCATGGAGTGGTCATTATTGGTGGCCACAGTTGGAGGATGGAGGTCCAGTTTTAAAAGGATTTTTCTTTTTTTTTTCCCTCAAATTGATTTTTATTGGATGTTTTCCATAG